GAACATTATTTGATTATGGTTTATAAACCAGTCCTGTAGCCAAGGAGTTGAGGGAATGAGATAAACAAGAAATGTTGTTCATTTCCCTTCCTTCCTGTTGAACAGCTCTGTGGTGGAAGAAGGGTAGAAGAAGCTTTCAGATGTTTGAGGAACAGCATTAATTGGCAAAATACTGTTCCTGTCTCCCTTGAACTGTTTCTCACCCTCCCTTCTGTTTAACAAAAAGGGCTGCAAAAATCTGGCAACTGGCTACCAAGTGAGTGAAGAAAAAGAAGAAGAGAAGAGATTGGATCGGATTTATACCCCGCCCTTCACTACCCAAAGGCGTCTCAGAGTGGCTTACAAACTCCTTTCTATTCCCCTCCCCACAACAGACACCCAGTGAGGTAGGTGGGGCTGAGAGAGCTCTGACAGAAACTGCTCTTATTCAAGAAGAGCTCCTATCAGAACTACAGCTTCACTACCCAAAGGTGTCTCAGAGCGGTTTACAAACGCCTTTCCCTTTCCCTCCCCCTCCCCACAACAGACACCCTGTGAGGTAGGTGGGGCTGAGAGAGCTGACAGAAACTGTTCTTTTTTCAAGAACAGCTGTTATCAGAACTATGGCTTGCCCAAGGTCATCCAGCCAGGTGCAATTGGAGGAGTGGGGAATCAAATCCAGTTCTCCCAGATTAGAGATTAGAGTCCACGCACTTAACCTTCACACTTTATTCTCAGTGGGCTTTAAAGTAGCTGTGATAGAAGGGGAAGCCTTGACATTGGTCTACTGTTATCGGTAACAGTCCTTTGAAAAGCATAATCTCCATCCCATCCCACCCCCTTAATGCATGGAATCAACACAGCACATTACACAAGCTTCAGGGGTTTTTTTTAATTGTGTGCCTGGAAATCATTGGAAAGACCACAGAGAAATCAAAATACTTGTAATGTGACAGTTTTTGAACTTTATTTCAGACAATTGATGTAGTGTCCCCTATTCAGACCAGATTTTTAATAAAACCCTGTCTCTAGAGGGCCTTCCTTCCTTTATTCCACTGAGTTTATAGTGAACCCCTTGTATCCACAATAATTTCTCCCATATTTTGCTTATATCCCCAACTCATTACACTTTTTCCTTCACTGAGTAAATTGTGCTGACATCTTTTAGACAAAAACCACCTCGATTCACTTAATGGAGCATGATGACACTTAGTCTGGGAAAGCGTTAAATCCCCACTGTGATTCTTCCTGAATTCTGAGCTGAGGGATTGGCCCTTGCCATTGGAATGGGAAGTGGTAACTGCTAATCAAGGTAGCAAAACTCTCAGCTGGGAGGTGAGTGCTTTGCCAGATATTTTGTAAATCTCAAGAATGAGGAAGTCCCATGTGTATTTTGTGGGTTCATACAGGAGCACCAAGTGCTGCTTGAGCAACATGTCATTTTGCTGGAATGAACCACTAGGATCACCGAAAGCAAATCTGAAACTGTTATGAACAGTTTGGGTTTTTATTTCAATCCCATTAAACCCTTGACCGAATCTCTCTCCATTTTGCCTTTAGCCACACGTGTGTTGTTTACAATGTCTGTACATGCCAAGAGTCTTAATTCATTGTGATATCTTCCGTAGCCCTTCCCATCCTTTTTTCTTGTTTAATAAAGATTTGTTGCTTCCAATTTTGCCAGAGTGGTTTGCTACGCTACGCTAATCTATGCACCTCTGTCAGTTGCTACAGGTTCATTACTAAGGGAAAAGTGAGAGTTTCCAAAGCGGTTCGTCTTTTGCATTAACTTTTTTCCTCACTTTAGAAAGCCAGTTTGGTGTAGTGGTTAAGTGCACGGACACTAATCTCTAATCTGGGAGAACCGGGTTTGATTCCCCACTCCTCCAATTGCACCTGGCTGGATGACCTTGGGCAAGCCATAGTTCTGATAACAGCTGTTCTTGAAAAAAGAACAGTTTCTGTCAGCTCTCTCAGCCCCACCTACCTCACAGGGTGTCTGTTGTGGGGAGGGGGAGGGAAAGGGAAAGGAGTTTGTAAACCGCTCTGAGACACCTTTGGGTAGTGAAGGGCGGGGTATAAATCCAATCTCTTCTTCTCTTCTTCTTCTTGTTGAACAAGTGTGTCTGAGCACTCGAAGACCCCTACTTCAGTCAAAATTGCCTGTGATATGTTTACATGGGTGTTTAAAGAAGCAGGTATATCAATTGTATTTTTGTGTGTTTACTAGAGTTGCCAACGTTCAGGTGGTTGCTGTAGTTCTCTCAATTACAATTGGTCTGCAACAGACTACAACAATCAGTTCTCCTGGAGAAAATGGAAGCTTTGTAGGATGGACGCAATGGCTTCACATCCCTCCCGAGCTCCCTCCCCTCCCCAAACTCCACTGTCCCTAGGCTCCACCTCAAATCTCCAGGAATTTTCCCAGTCGAGACATGGCAACTCTGGTGTTTACTGTGGAAATACCAGTGTAATTGGGGTGCTTTCCACACAGGAACCAGCTTGTATAGTTTCCTCATTGTTTCTGTGACTGCTGATACAACACAGCAGCAATGGGGCTTCTACGTGGCTGGTTTCCCTGTCATTTTCCTGCTCTAGTCTGCCAGCAGTGGCAAATCACGTAACCCACCAGGGCTTCTCCAGGTTATTTTTTAAAATTAGCATTATGATACTGATATAGAGTGTTGATATAACCCTCAGTGTATCATTTTCTGTGAATTCCCAGCTTTTTGTGTGAATTCCCATTAAAAAGTTTCTAGATGAAAGCATTGCAGAGATCTAAGCGGAAAGGCATATCTCCACAATGAAACGGGCTAGAGACTTAATTAAAAATTAAAACTGGGAATTCACAGAAAATGACATACAGATTATTATAACATTATATTGATATAATAGTATTCATTTGCCAATTAAACAAAAGGCCCCAGCCATATCCCAAAACTTTTCTGCTCACATGGCAGACATCCAGCTTTGTTGTGATCTTACTCAAAGTTTTGCAGCAAAGCAGGTTTGCGAGAGGTTGGAGAAAAGCTAGAGACCCCCCCCCGAGGTACATGAACACACCACAGTGGTGTGGGAGAGCAGGAAAAACGCCACTTCCCAATAGTATCAAACCTGAGGCAAGTAACCCATTGAAAACAACTCTAGTATATCTACAGTCATATGCAGCAGTATGGAATACACTGAGCTTTCCTTTTCACTTCCTGCTCTCCTCACTAACAGTATACACATACCAAGCAACCAATTATGTTGAAGATCCTGTGACTCTAACCCAAAATCATGAGGTCTCCAAGACAACAACCACTGTTCTCAAAATATAATTTATAGCCAATACTCTGATCTGGCAAATGTAGGTGTGGTGGGTAGACTGTCATGCATACTAGAGTTTCGGTTATTACAGTGAATGCTTTCTGAGGAATTGAAAGTGAAAATAGGCATCAACCATACTAAAAAAAACAAGAAGAGCAGATTCTGAAGGTACAGCAGGATGGCTCTACAGCCTGAAGAAGCGAGAGGTAAGAATCCAGTTTTGTAATTGGATTGAGGGTTTTCTTTTTCCTGCAGGTTTTTATTACTTTTCCAGTTCCACAGTAGTGGAAATTCAGTAAAATGTTCAGCAAAGGGATCCAAATTCAGTGCATTCCTGACTGTCTGAAACCACAGACAGCAAATTAAAAGAATTTTGGAAACTGCTGCACAGGCTATTGCCTTCAGTGTGTTTGCTGTACATACTTCTGATGACTGGCTAATGGGTTCAGGCAGACAAAAGGAAATTCTTCTTTACTCAACAATTAGATAAATTACAAGTACACATAGATGGCTTTAAAGGGGTTAGACAGATTCGAGAAGGATAAGTCCATCAATGGCTACTAGTGAAGGTGACTGAAGAGAACCTCCATATACAAAGGCAGTGCTAGGAGGCGGCATCAAGGGGAAGCCTTGGTCTCTAAGCTCTGTTTGTCAGCCCTCTAGGGGAGCACATTGGCCATTGAGTGAAACAGAATGACTAGAATCAGCAGGGCTTTTATGTTAAGACTATTCTGTGTAATAATTGCATTATAATAATATAATATTCAGTGTAATAATTGCATAAAAGTCTACTATGTGGTAGGATCTTACTGTAGCATCTCTCATGAATGCATTTTCACACAGGAGAGCTGAACTGGATGTTCCTTCAATCACATTTGTAATGTGAATGTAACACCGGAAATCTACTGAAATGCCCTTCTGTGTTACAAATGCCTTCCTTTGTTTCACATGACCAATGGCACACGTTAATATAAGGAGCATACGTGCGTATATGAGACAGAGAGGTGGAAAGGTAGTTTAAGCTTTTATTACAAAAATCACTTTCAAATATTCATTCAGAGGCACATAGAGTTATATCAGATATGGTGTACATGCATGTGTATTAAGGATCTCTTATTTGCAGCTGTTTCTTGACATTTATATGCATCTCTTTAAAATACATTTATGCATCTCAACAGATGTGTATTACTAGTAATCTGTATATTACATGCATATGATTACATTAGAATAGTCTGTTCAGATCAAAAACATTTTCATTTGGTATAGCCTCCTAAAATTGCAGCAGCATGTCTGCTGTGCCTGAACTGGTTCATGGTTCTGCTCCTATGTTGCTGTATTTGTACAGGGGATTAAGGGGCACATTTAAAATATATACATGTTTTCTCTTATATACTAAAGTATCAACTATTGTACTTGTAAAATAGAACATTGCCATTTCAGAAGTTCTTTATTTCACACAGTGCAGCGTAGCTGGGTATGCACACACATCTCTCACAACATAGCTTTATTCTAGACTTTTCATTTTACTCTATTTTGATGGGTGCGTTGCATAGTTTGCTTGGGGTACCAAAACTCTTTGGCTGTCCATGTATAGGAAAATAAAATATCCATCACGTGGATTTTGCTGATTTGGGACACTGTAGTTTATTTTAAAAAACAGGATTTACACAGACATGAGGTTGTGACCATTCTTCTAAAAATACCCCTTCCAGAGCTCTGTACAGAGCTGCATTGATTAATTCTTCAATTTTGTTTCTAACAGGTCAGTTAGCCAAAGATACCGACAAAAGGTAAGGGAGGCAGTTTTCTGTTATATTTTCTATTACACTTTTCTTACACATTCAGTACTAGGAAGAAGTGAAACAAAAGATGGTACCCGGCAGAAATTCACTTTCCTTGTGGTACCCGGCAGAAATTCACTTTCCTTGTGCTTTGCAAAATTATATATTTTTTGTATTAGATTTGTTCCATTCTCTTGGAGTTGGGACTTTTTTTGACATTTTGGTATATTAGTATCCCCTTTCCATTATTTCTTTCTTCTGAATCATTCCTGACTTGTGATGGAGCTCTAGAATGCAGCACAGCAGAGCCAGTTTGTGGGGTTTTGTTTTTAATATTAACTCTGTTCCTGTAATCCAGGCCAGTGTTCTGGACAACATGACTCCCGGACTTGATGTGGGCAGAAAAAAGGAAGAAAGGAAGTTGTCATTGCAGCTCCACAGGGGGAAAGAAGGAGACTTACTAACCTGTGCTCCTGTTTAAAACTACACTGTCACCTTATTCTGATGTCTAGAAATTAAGACACAACAGAGCTGGAAAGATAATCCCCCATCTGAAGATAATTACACACTGCATTTGAGAAAAAAGATAGGGAAATAACTCTTTATCAGTTCCCAAGATTTTAAATAATATAATTACATGCAATAGAAAACCATCCATATTGCTCACATTTTAGATGTGTGAAATCCTGGGAGCTCACAATTTCTGTGTAATTTTCTAAACGTTAACAAAATTGTTTTGACTTCCCCCAAAATTTCTTGGATTTTTCATATGAGGAAGAACCCCTAAATTCAAAGTTTCATTCGTGCTGAAATCTGTTTAGTCACAAGAGGCAGTTTTAGGGGTTTCTCAATACAGAAAGGACATACAGCATGAAGAAGGTAAGTGGGGAATGGTTATATTCTGTTATGCTTGTGCTTTAGGTGGAGAATAGAACCGGACGATTTTGAAAAGAATTATACTCCAGAGTCACGTCCACATGTAACTTATCTCTTGTATGAAATACACTGGGGCAAAAGTCTCAGGACCTGGAAGAACTGGTGTAAAAATGATGTCAATCGCCATGCTGAAATCAACTTTTTTGAAACTGCCTGTGAGGAGATAAAACGCAGAACAAAGCCATGCTATGTCACTTGGTTTTTGTCCTGGAGTCCTTGTCATAATTGTAGCAAGTCTATAATTGAGTTCTTGGGAAAACACCCTAATGTGACACTGGACATACGAGTCTCTCGGCTGTTCAGGGATTGGGACGAGAACAAGACTGAACTCAGAGCCTTAGCTGGCCATCGTGGGATACATTTATCCATCATGCACCCAGGTGGTAAGTGAATATATATTTATTATAGTTATAGATAGGCTCCGGTCACATGGGAGGATTTGCCCCGCAAGAGGGATGAATCGGGGGCATATCAAGAGGGCGTGATCACACCACAACATCTGGGAAGCATCACGCACCCATCCCCGATCCGCCCATTTGGCCTGTAAATGCGCATTCAAAAGGTACTACCCAAAGAGCACTACCTTCTGGATGATGCGCGGCAACTCCAGGCGTCTGATCGGGGAAGTGCTGGTAGCCCATTGCAGCCAGTGCCGTTCCCCGTCCCACGCATGTGCACAAATGCGCAACGTCCATTTTGCCGCACTACGTCTGATTGCCTGCCAAAGGCCAGAGCACGGAGCCACGGGAGCACGTCGGATCGTGCTCCTGTGGTTCTTTTTGCTCTGGCTCTACTTTGCCTCCCTTCAGCGGCACGGTATCCCGCTTGTGTGACCGGGACCATAGATAGGTTTTATTCATGGCAAAAGCCAGCATTAAAACAGATAAAACCAAAGAATGTTAAACAGGAGAACCAATAAAACAATTATAAAAATATAAAAGAATAAATTTAACATACAAATTTAACATACAGATATGAGAACATAGCAGTTATGATGGACATTGTAACATACATACAGAGTGGCTGAATGCCTAACATTTACCTGACTGAGCTACTAATAACTTTCTGGTTCTTGAGGCAAGCCAACCAAATTATCCAGAAAGTTCTTCAGGAGTTGCATTTTTTGACTGGAAGTGAGAGTAGTAGTTGTGGAAAACGGGAGGATATGACAATAATTGTTATAAACCTTGCAATTATATATGACATGCATTAAAGTTTCTACACCTTCATTACAGCGGGGGCATATATGATCTTCAAACGGTATTTTTTTTTAATCTTCCCTTCATGACTGCTGAAGAGAGAACGTCCCACCTCTCTGAGTGGTTACAGAACATATTAATATATATTATATATATAAAATGGATGGAGGGATAATGTCTCTTGATAGAGGCCTCACAAGCAAAAATAACAGTTTTCTGTATATAGCACTGCAAACATATAGCTGTAAAACATAAGATGGGAAATAAGTGGTGATTAAAAGAGACCCATGATTTTACAAATCTTGTCACTGACCAGATGTAAAGAGAGCATGGCCTCATTAATGACTCTCTGGATTATCTCTAGTGCAAATCCAAACCCTTTGAAACCAGTCTAGCTGCCATACTTCAGCCAAACAACCCAAGGATTTGTAGCTTGGAAAGGGTTCCAAGATCTTTGTGAAACATTCCCAGGCACTTTGCAGAACTACAGTTCCCATTGCTTATAACTTGGCCACTGTGACCGTTGGGCTTAACCTGTAAGGAAAGGCTGTATACATATGAGAGTGCTTGTGTTTTATACATGCATTTGTTTTGCCCACTTTTCATTTTTGTACAAATTGCATTTAGCTTCTAAAGCTCCCCTAGACATCTTTTACTACAAGTGATAATGGGACAAAAGGAATAATTGCATATGTACTCTGAGCAATGCTGCATTTTTTCCATCACCAACAATTCTGTTAAAAATGGTGGTTTGTCTCCAGTTACAGCCTATGCTTAAAACTCTTTAAGTTCCGTCCTCAAAGTGAGCACCCAACCTTCTTAAGGATAATAGCTGTGTAACATTTTTCTAAGACTAGGGTATTAATTTCAAACCTGTTACATTATGAGTATAGTTTAAGTGCCTCTGGTTTGCCTGTATATAAATTTGATCATCTTTGATGGGTCAGTTTTCCCATTCAAACTATATCCCCGTCTCACACTTTAGCTAAACACTGAGCCTCAGAAGGGAGGTGATTAGTCTACCACAAACTACCCATGAAGGCTTTGCTACATTTGACTATTAAACAGCAAGATCTTCTGTGGTCAAATGAACATTAATTCTGAAAATGTTGTTCTTCTGAGATGGAAATGAAACATCTACCCTGAAACACTCTATGCCAGGGGTGGCCAGACTTGCTTAACGTAAGAGCCACACAGAATAAAAATCAGATGTTTGAGAGCCACAAGACATGAACAAATATTACACGCATGTTTTTATTGAAAAATATGCAAATTCACTTTTTATTAACATTAAACGAGACTGCCAAAAATAAAAAGGGGTAAAAACAGATATTGATAATGATATTTATTTGTTTGATTATATTTATTTGTTTTCTGATGATATTTATTTATCTGAGAGAGACAGAGGTGGAAAGAAAAAATGAAAGAGGTGGAAAGAAAGAGAGAAACAAAGAAAGCAAATAGATGGGGAGGGGAGAGGAGGAAGGAAGGGAGAGAGAGAGAGAGCAAATAGATGGGAAGGGAGGGAGGGAGAAAGAATGGTGTAAAGAAAGAAGGAGAGAGAGTGAGAAAGAGAGAGACAGAAACAAAGAAAGCAAATAGATGGGGAGGGGAGAGGAGGAAGGAAGGGAGAGAGAGAGAGAGCAAATAGATGGGAAGGGAGGGAGGGAGAAAGAATGGTGTAAAGAAAGAAGGAGAGAGAGTGAGAAAGAGAGAGACAGAAACAAAGAAAGCAAATAGATGGGGAGGGAGGGCGAGGAAGAGAGAGAGAGAGAGAGAGAGAATGAGAAAGCAAAGATGAAGGAGGACAAGTGAGGAAGGAAGGGAGAGAAAGCAAGCAAATAGATGGGGAGAGAGGAAGAAAGGTGAAAAGAGAGAGAGAAGTGGAAAGAAAGTGGAAAGAAAGTCAATAGATGGGGGAGGGAGGGAGGGAGGGAGAGGTGGAAAGAAAGCAACTTTAAATGTGTCCTCCAAGCCCCCCCACACCGGCTGACTTGGCTTTGTGGAAGGCATTTAAGAGGAGAAAACCCTTTTCCAATCCTGGGGGAGGGCTTTGAGAACTCATTGCTTTCTTTCCCCACTACCTCAGGCCTTACCCAGGGAGGGGACCACTGGCTGGGGAAGGGAAGCCTCCCCTTCTCTTTCCCAGGTGTCCTGCTGGGAGCTATACAATATGTGTGAAAGAGCCGCATGTGGCTCCCGAACTGCAGTTTGGCCACCCCTGCTCTATGCTCTATACATACTCAGAAACTGACAGGCTATTTACTTCTCCAGATTATAGTTATTGCTGGAAAACATTTGTGGCTCATCAAAAGAACCAGGGCTCATCAGAGGAACCAAAGGACTATATGCATTTCTTTACGAAGATACATGATTGGAATGCAGAACTTTGCTCAGTGCTTAAGTGAGTAGCTCTATTATTCAAAATCTTGCATGGATATTGGTTTTGCTTCTGGCACTTAGTTGCTCTTATCTACTACCAGAGGTCATTTCGGGGGGGATTGCGGGGGATCGCAGTTCCCCCGGGTGAGGTACGGGGGCGGGGCACATGACGAAGCCCCGCCCCCTGCTTCCGGCCGCCCCACTTCCAGCCCTCATTCAGCCAGGAGGAGGCAGGAGAAGAGGGAGGGTAAGTTGCTTCCTCCCTTCCTCTCCCCACCCCTGCCTGCCTGGGGCCAGAGAGGGCCTTTGCAGTCTTCATGTGGACAAGTGGGGAAGTAAACCCGGTTCTCCAGATTAGAGTTTGATGATATTAACCACTACACCACACTGCTCAGTGATTGGTTATGGGCAACCAGGTATTT